TAATTATTTTAGCCTTCTTTTGTTTAAGGTATACAACTGAGCCATGCATATATATTTTTGTAAATAGCAGATTACAAATTTTTGTTACACAAATAGAATACAGCTAAAAACCTAGCTTGTTGAAGAATTGCTTCCTTTGCTTTTCTATAACTCCGTTTGTGAGTATGAGCAGATGGCATATGATGACTATCCCCAAAACGGGAAATCTTTAATAATCTGGGATGTTTTATCTCATGACATTTCAGCATCTTGAAATGCAAACACCACACTCTTATCTTAGAATTTAGGTTAAACATGAAATCTTTATTAGAAAGCAGTAGATATTAGTAATTGAGTCTGCTTGGCTAGATAGCTTAAGGGGAGATAGGCATTTGAGTTCTTGTGCTATCACTAGGGAACCTTAAAACTACTTTGAAAGATAGACATTCCCTAGGCCCCTCTTTTCTGGCTTCTTCCTTAGTCTGTACTGACTCTCAGGAGTAAAGTAGAACCTTTGGAGTACCAGTCTAAGTGCATATCCTTTCCACTCCCACACTTTCACTTGTAGTTGCTTGGCATGCATTTCCAAATAGATGGAAATAAAGGTAAGCAAGGGATTGTTTCTTAAAATATTGCAAAGGTGATTGATTATGAAGTTACAAAACCTATTGTAGTACCTTTCACGTAATGGAAACAATAAATACCTGTTCTGTGGCTATATGAACAAAATTGCATCAGTACCAAGGACCTATTGTTTATTCTGACTGACTGATCAGAGACAAAGGAAGAGGTTTGCTTTGGGCTTTAAGTCCCTTGTTCTTATAGGGTTCTGGGCTTAAGGAAAAATTGATTTTTGTGGTATGTAATTTAGATACAGGTGAGATAGTGCATCATGAAAATGAATAGTTATGTGGAGCTGTTCAAATTGGAGAATGATAAGGTATGAGTTGTGCTCAAATGGATGCACACAATGTGGTACATAAAGCAAAATGAGGGTGTGAAACCTTAGGTGTGAAGAGAGCCTATTTAGAGAGAATAATGCAGTGTATAAAGTGTGAAGTGTAACATGATGTTTAACTTTGGGGTAAATAGAAAACTTGCCAACTGGGAAAATTATAAAATGAAATAAAACATTGAGCAGTTGCACCTCTAAAGAAAAACTAAATAAATTAGGCAGTTTAGCCCAGAGAAGGAAGGACCATGAGGAGAAATGGATTTTTCTTGGTATTTTAAAGATTACTATACAGAGGAGAGTGAAAAGGAAAAGTATTTAAATTGTATAGCATTCAGATGAAGTGTAAGAGAATTCCTTGGGATATGAAACCAAGTATTTTTTCCTCTGGAAGTATGGGAGAGATACTTCTTAATGTGGCATATTTCTGCATAAAAAAACAGGACCAGATTCATTTATCAAATACTTATTTGAGCACCTAGTATGTACCAGGAACTTGGGAGACATCAGTGAACAAAGACTACTTTTATAGACCAGTTCTTTAAAGTCACAGGTGCTAAAGGGCAAATCAGCAAGATTCCAAAAGGCAAAGGCAGTTGCCTATTTTTAGTACACTTTACAAGAATTTAACCACTTCATTTGATAATACTGATCAGTAAGAGAATATTTATAGAGTCTGGGGTTCTTTATGAAAGCATGTTTTCATTCCTGTGGTGTTATTTCCTTCAGATGTTAACTAGGAGCACTATGTGTTGAGGAAACCTTATCAAGCATCTAGGGGGAACAGAATACCATTTGTGAAGTTACTGTTTGTTTTCTGCTCTGCTTTATCCTATAGGTCTGATCTAGGCCATAGTGACCCTGTTCAGGATCACTTGCTATTTAAGAAGACTCTCCTGCCAGTCTGGAAGATGATAGCCAGTCACAGGTAGGACTCCAAGCCACTCTTGGTATTCACAGCCACTCTTCTCATTTAGGGTGACTTTCCAGGGTTTCTTCATCCTCTCTGGGTTTGTCCCTTAACAGGTTCAGCAGTCTGTTTCTGAAGCCTGTGTCAGAAAGGCAGGCCCCAGGATACAAGGATGTGGTGAAAAGGTTAGTGGAAATGGGGTCAAGAAAGGTTGGTTGCTTTTATATCTGTCTTTTCATACTTTATTTCACATCTGTTAGATTATTTATTTATTTCATTTACATTACTTAAGCTCAAGATATATTTTACAGCTGAACAAGTTTATAAAGTTATGGTAAGGTAAGCTCAGTCCTCATTTGAGAATATAGGGAACAAAAGGATAAAGAGGCTTTTATCAGTATTGACTTTTAAGTAGTATGATCCATTTATTATAATCTTACATTTGCCTTTGGTAGTTTTTGGCACTGTTATTTCAGAGCAAAACTTTAAAAGGAACACTGTATTCATTCAGGCAGTTATAGGTATGCTAAAGCAAAGATGGTAATCCAAATGGATGTTATAAACACTGGTTGATTGCAGTATTTTGGATTTTTATAGCATAGTTCATCTAAAATGCTGTCATAAACCAGTGTGTGTTAGTAGTGTATAAAAGATCAGAAAAGAACCTTTGGAGACAGACTCCTTAATTCTGTAGATGAGGAAACTAAGACTCAGAGGTGGTCATGACTTGTCTGTGATCAACAGTGAATAGCAGAGCTAGAACTAAACCCCAGAGTCTTACCTCCCAGTTCAGTCCTCTTTCTACGCTGCTGTGCCGCCTTTTATATACCCACTCTCTGTGTTGCATTATATAATATTTACCTTAATATTCACTTGATTCTCTTTTCATCTCCATGAAAGAAGAAAAAAAACCTCTGAGCTTTTGATGATACAGTAAAAACAGTTGATTAAATACGTAGTATATGACTACACATTGTAAACAATCGGTCAGTAACTACCCTGTGACAAACTGATCATTGGAGCTCTTTATAACTTTGATACCTCCAATTGTAAAGTGAAATGGCTGGGCCTGTGGGCTCTGGAGTCAGGCTGTTTCTGAATTGGAAACTAAGCTGTGTGACTTTGGGCAAGTACCTAACTTCTTTGATTTCAGGTTCCTCATTGCCAATTGTGACAATGGTACCTACCATATAGGTTTATTGAGAGGATCAAGTGAGTTCATATAGAAAGTATCTAGCATAGCACTTGGCTTATTGTAAGCAGTCGTATGTTAGCTGCTATTGCTATTTTATTATCTGATGGGGATTGTTATCTTTACTACTGTTTTCATTAAGAGCTGGTTAGTTCTTCAGGAGAGCATGTTAGGTCACCACATGTTCCACATGAAGGTTTGATTTCCTCTGGTTTCTCTTGGCCACCTGTAGACCCATGGACTTAACTAGCCTGAAAAGGAACCTGTCTAAGGGACGTATTCGCACCGTGGCTCAGTTCCAGAGGGACCTGATGCTGATGTTCCAGAATGCTGTGATGTACAATGACTCTGATCATCAGGTGTACCGTATGGCTGTGGAGATGCAGCGAGAAGTCTTGGAACAGATTCAGGTACTGTAGGTAGAGAGCTGCAAGAAAAAGGAATGTAGTTTCTGGAATCTGATTTTAGAAAGTCTGTGAGAATAAGGGTGGTGTTGAAGTGACCTTGCGTTCCCAGAGTTTATGTTCAGAGGTGATTCAAGGACCTGACGGACTGACATTGTACCTGCTGGTTTGGAAAACTCTGAGCCTCTGTGGGACCAGCTTTAATAGATAGTGAAATAAAATAGTCTAGGAAGGCAGGCAGCAATGAAGAGCTCTTAAGAGACCTGGGGATAGATAAATAATGGGCGCATCTGCTTCCAGAGCCTCAAGTCAGAGGGCTGAACATGCAAACCAGAGGCTGGAGTCACTGTCCATTTTTTGGTTGCTGTACCTGTTGGTATTAATATATGTTCACATTGTCCCATCTATAGAAGGTAAGATATGGTAGCCAGAAGAAGACATTTGAGGGTTTCTTTTCTGGGCAGCTTCTTACTTTAAAGAAAAAAAGTGTAGTTGAATCTCTGCGGAGAAAGAAATAAAACTGCTTTCAAACCTCCATAAAGATTCATAGCTTGTTGTCTGCCTTGACCCTGTAGGTGCTGAGTATTTGGTTAGATGAAAGAAGAGTCTTAAATAGTCTGGAATGAGAACTAACCAGCCCCATGGATGATGGAAAACCTATTTTGCTAACTTGGAGCTGCTACCCTGAACTTTTCTGGAATTTGGATCTTTCATTGAGACTCTGACCTAGAGAAGATCCCAGTACTTGTTTACCATTTCTCTGTTTTCTTTTCCAATAAGAATAATGCCTTAACTTACAATCAAAGAATTAAAGGTGCCCGTGGACATAATACAAAGAAAACACAGAAAGCTGAGATTTGGGGTTATGCCATATGTATTGCCCATGTCTTTGTTTCATAGGCTTAATTTAGAGGTAAATAGATGAAACTTCTTTTACTGCTCTTTAAATAAATGTTATTTCACAAGTCAAAGATTGCCTTTTAATGTTTACAGAAGCTGGGAATAGAGGGGATAGCATTATCTGGTGAAATAAGGAAGGTATTTAACGTGGGTTTTCTTACATACACTGTCTGGGAGGGGCTGGGGTAGGACGAGGGAAAGTGTGTATGATTTGTCTCATCATTTATAAAGTGGAGATAATTGAAGTGTCCTTCGAATGGCTAGGAGGATGAAGTAAGATAAATTATGAGGAAAATGTTAGAAAACGTCTATTGCTTTTAAGATGTGCAAGGGGAATAAAAATGCCTGTGGCTGGTTCCCTTTCTTGAGCTAGCCAAGGGCTGCCAAGCGCTCTGCTGGAATTGGGCCTCTGCAGCCACCGTCTCTAAGCTGGGTTTCCGGTCTCCTAGCAACAACATGTGGTGACTCTCCAGGAGCCCGGGCTGAGGTGAGTGCCCAGTTGAGGGTCGGATTCGGAAGGAATCTGGGGGTGCAGCCCACAGAGGGTCAGGGATTCTCCTTTCCAACCGGGCCTGACGCTAAGCTTCCCCGGGGGGCGGAGGGGGGGGGCGGGGTGGTGCGGGCCGGTGAGCGGCGCGGAGGGTTGCAGACCTAGTCTCCTCCTGGGTCCCAAGGGTCTAGGCTTTCGCCTTGCTCCTTGGTCTCTCCACCTCCATGAAAGTGCTTAGGAAAACCCACCGCAGGACTTAGAAGCAGAGTAGAAATCGTATTATTGAGACGCTTCTTGTTGAAAAAGGTATGACAGTTTCCAGCTTTATAAATTAATAAAATTAAGCACCTGATAATGCTCTTTAGTCACAATTACATTAAATTTGGGTTGGTGGGGGGTGCCTGTCATTACAGTTGATACCAGTCAAGAATCTCTTAAATTGTACACTGAAAAGCCAGAATGGAGCTATCAATGCCCCCACCTCAGATCTATGTAGAAAAGACTCTGGCCATTATCAAACCAGATATTGTTGACAAAGAGGAGGAGATACAAGATATTATTCTCAGATCTGGATTCACCATTGTTCAGGTAACTTCTGGGCAGGATCATCATGTTTTTTTTCTCTCTAGTGAATTAGGCTTTTCCTCCTTAGCTTTTAACTAAAATAGAATTTAAAATTCACTTAAGTAGAAGATATATTTGGAAACTCTTCTTAGGCATAGGGTTATATCCCTAAACTGTTATTTTAGATTACCTTATTTTTTAAAATTAATTTATTATTATTTATTTTTATTTTGGGCTGCATTGGGTCTTTGTTGCTGCACACGGGCTTTCTCTAGTTGCAGTGAGCAGGGGCTACTCTTCGTCGCAGTGCGTGGGCTTCTCATTGCGGTGGCTCCTCTTGTTGCGGAGCACAGGCTCTGGGCACGCAGGCTTCAGTAGTTGTGGCTTGTGGGCTCTAGAGCACAGGCTCAGTAGTTGTGGCGCACGGGCCTAGTTGCTCCGCAGCATGTGGGATCTTCCCCGACCAGGGCTCGAACCTGTGACCCCTGCCTTGGCAGGCGGATTCTTAACCACTGCGCCACCAGGGAAGTCCAAGATTACCTTTGATTTTACCTTTTAAAAATGTTTATGTAAATGTGTCAGCCCATTTAGATCCTTAGTATTTAGCATGAAATTTAGGTTTATTCTTATAAGTATAAAAGCTATATGTGATAATATTACAAAAGTTTTTTCACATTTCAAAAGGATATAAAATGAGAAGTAAAATTTCTTTTTCTTCCATCTCTCCTCTCCCAGCTCAAGTCCTAAACTCCAGAGAGAGGCAACCACTTAACACTTTCCTGTTCTTCCAGGATTTTTTTTATGCATTTACAAACATTTTTCCCCCATAAAGTAGGACAGTCCCCTTCCCTTGACCCCCTTTACAGAGTCCCTCAGATAGCATTCCAGATCATTACATGTGAATTTATCTCATTCTTCCTAACTTCTGTGTAATACTCTTCTGTACAGATGAGCCACAGTCTATTTACTTGGTCTTCTCTTGACTGTTCGGTGTTTTTACGCGCAGGCTCAGCGGCCGTGGCTCACGGGCCCAGCCGATCCATGGCATGTGGGATCTTCCCAGACTGGGGCACGAACCCGTGTCCCCTGCATCGGCAGGCGGACTCTCAAACACTGCGCCACCAGGGAAGCCCCTGTTGGGTGTTTTTTTGGTTGTTTTTTTTTTTTTTTCCAGTTATTTACAAACTTTTAATGTTTTAAGCCTTATACTTGTTCTGCAGTTGATAGTTTTGAAAATGAATATAGAGTGTTGTTAAACATTATCAAATTTAAAGAAACTTAAATAGAATGGAATTTTTTTTAAACATCTTTATTGGAGTATAATTGCTTTACAATGGTGTGTTAGTGTCTGCTTTATAACAAAGTGAATCAGCTATACATATACATATATCCCCATATCTCCTCCCTCTTGCATCTTTCTCCCATCCTCCCTATCCCACCCCTCTAGGTCACAGAGCACTGAGCTGATCTCCCTGTGCTATGCAGCTGCTTCCCACTAGCTATCTGTTTTACATTTGGTAGTGTATATATGTCCATGCCACTCTCTCACTTCGACCCAACTTACCCTTTCCCCTCCCCATGTCCTCAAGTCCATTCTCTATGTCTGCGTCTTTAGAATGGAATATTTTTAATCTTCCTTTTTTCTCTACCATCCTTATTTGAAATTTCAGTTTTTTATTCTCTAATAAATATACAGTGTCATATTGCCTATTGAATCTTTTAGAAAATAGAAAAAGGAGAAAACTCGGGCTTCCCTGGTGGCGCAGTGGTTAAGAATCCACCTGCCAATGCAGGGGACATGGGTTTGAGCCCTGGTCCGGGAAGATCCCACATGCTGCGGAGCCACTAAACCCATGCGACACAACTACTGAGCCTGCACTCTAGAGCCCGCGAGCCCCAACTACTGAGCCCACGAGCCACAACTACTGAAGTCCGTGTGCCTAGAGCCTGTGCTCCGCAACAAGAGAAGCCACCGCAGTGAGAAGCCCATGCACTGCAACGAAGCATAGCCCCCACTCGCTGCAGCTAGAGAAAGCCCATGTGCAGCAATGAAGAACCAACACAGACATAAATAAATAAATAAATTTACTTAAAAAAAAATAAAGTCTAGGTACCGTAAAGGAAAAGATTGATAAAAGTATAAATATAGGGGCTTCCCTGGTGGCGCAGTGGTTGAGAGTCCGCCTGCTGATGCAGGGGACATGGGTTCGTGCCCCGGTCCGGGGAGATCCCACATGCCGTGGAGCGGCTGGGTCCGTGAGCCATGGCCGCTGAGCCTGTGCGTCCGGAACCTGTGCTCCGCAACGGGAGAGGCCACAACAGTGAGAGGCCCGCGTACCGCAAAAAAAAAAAAAAAAAAGTATAAATATAAAAAACTTGCACATGGCCAAATAAACATAATAAGCAAAGTCAAAACACAAATGACAAGACTTCGGAAGAAGATTTGTAATTCATATCACAAAGGCTAATCTCCCTAGTATATAAAAGCTGCTAGAACAGGATAAAAATTCAGTTGAAAATGGGCAGTACATGTGGATGGTCACAGAAAAAGAAAAACAAATGCTTCTGAAACATAGGAAAAGATGCTCAATCTCTAAGCAGGAATAAAGCAAATTAAAATGACACTGAGATACCATCTGGCAAGAATATAAAAGTAAATGACATAACCCCTATGGAAGGGGATCTGGCAGTTATCTATCAGTATTACAGATGCATATACCCTTAAACCCAGCAGTACTCTCTGGGAATCTCTCCTATAACCCATGTATTAATATGAAGTGACCTATATCTAGGTTATTTTTTGCAGCATTATTTATTTACAGGCAAAAGATTGAAAACAACCCAGCATTAGAAGATTGGTTAAATTGACCCTGGCGAGCCACCAAATTGAATACTATGCAACTAATTATAAACCTCTCTGTGTCCTTTTATGGAAAAAAGCAAGATGCAGAACAATGTGTAGCTACTTTCTATGATGGAAAGAGAAAAAGTAATATACATGTTTGCCGGTATTTGCAAAATGAAACTAGGAGATAAATAACCATTAAAAAATGGTTGCATATTGAGGGCGAGGAAGAACAGGCTGGGTTAGGACAGGGATGGGAATGAGATTTTTCATATAAACCTTTTTATATTGCTTTGAATTTTTTAGCCCTGTAAGTATGTTACTCATTAATTTGAGAAAGAAACAAAGTATACAAATAATATAAAGTTCCCAATTTGTCTTTTAAATCCATATTTTGAAAAGAATTAGTGAAAAACTTAATAATTAAGGAGTTAATGATAACTATAAATTAAAACAGTGTTAGAAAAAAAAACTTAGTGTAAAAGCTAATATTTAACACTTTCCCTAGTCAGCAAGAAGTTTCAAACCAAAGAACGCCTTGGTATATTGTATGCTTCTTTTTTGTTTTAATTGTGATAAAATATACACAACATAAAATTTACCTTTTTAACCATTTTTAAGCGTACATTTCAGGGGAATTAAGTACCTTCACACTGTTGTGCAGCCATCACCACTATCCATCTCTAGAACTTTTTCGTCATCTCAAACTGAAACTCTGTACCCATTAAACACTAACTACCAGTTCAGCCCTCTCCTTACCCCTGGTAACTACTATTCTACTTTCTGTCTCTATGACTTTGCTATTCCAGGTGTCTCATGTCAGTGGAATCATTTGTCCTTTGTATTGTATGCTTTAAAAGTAGGCTCTATTATAGGTGGGAGTTCCTTGAACTTGAGGCTTTCTTGTTCCATCTAGGAAAAAACTCCTAAAATATGATGTATTCTTTCAGTAGGTGGCAGCCTTTCCTGTGTTACAAACTAATAACTCCTCTTTGTGAAAATATTTGTTGTTGTTGATTTCTATTCATTTTTTGGCCGCGGCTGCGGGATCTTAGTTCCCCTACCAGGGATTGAACCCATGCCCTTGGCAGTGAAAGCACAGACTCCTAACCACTGGACTGCCAGGGAATTCCCTCTTTGTGAAAATATTAATCTAAATTTCAAAAAAGTTTATCTGATCTAATTTTAAAGCAACTGATGGAATCACTGATTCAGTATCAACTTTAGTTTAAGATGAGCCCTTAATTTTTAAAATTACGCTGCATTAGCTAGCATACCTGCAGAATATAGCTTCCCTTGCTTGTTAAGGGGTATAATGGCAGATAAGGGCTTACAGTGCAGGAAAAAAAACACTCAAATCAATATGCATAAGAATCACAAATACTGGCATATCTTAATTTTAAATAATAGAATCAAGGATTATACTAAATCAGGCACTGTTATAACTTCTCAAATTTCTTCTATTTCTTGACTGTATGAATTTTAATATGAGAATAGATGTCAGCACCTTTTTTTTTTTTTTTTTTTTTACAGTACTGTAACTGATCCTTGACTAGTGAGAATGTTATGTTTGTCCAGTAGAGCCTGTTCATAGCATTGCTGACTTACCTAGTAAGCATCTCTACAAGATTCTTGCTCTGGGCAGTTTAGATCCCTCTCTACAAACCAAGCAATTTTATCAAGTTTCTGAAACTTGAAGACACATGATAGTTTTGGAAGGGACTTTAAGAGGTAGGTCACTTGGTAAAATTCACACTGTACTCTCAGGAAAATCTAACCCATTTTATTTTATTTATTTAGTTAAATAAATTTATTTATTTATTTATTTTTGGCTGCATTGGGCCTTCATTGCTGCGCTTGGGCTATTCTTTAGTTGCGGCGAGCGGGGGCTACTCTTTGTTGCAGTACACGGGCTTCTCATTGCAGTGGCTTCTCGTTGCGGAGCATGGGCTCTAGGCACGTGGGCTTCAGTAGTTGTGGCACACAGTCTCAGTAGTTGTGGCTCACGGACTCTAGAGCACAGGCTCAGTAGTTGTGGCTCACGGGCTCTAGAGCGCAGGCTCAGTAGTTGTGGCGCACGGGCTTCGTTGCTCTGTGGCATGTGGGATCTTCCCAGACCAGGGCTCAAACCCATGTCTCCTGCATCGGCAGGCAGATTCTTAACCACTGCGCCACCAGGGAAGCCCTCTAACCCATTTTAGAAAGATAGATATCTGCCTTAATCTTGGAGATTTTTAGCCTTCCCCTAGTAATTTATCTCCATGTCTCATCATCCTTACTCCAGCAAGTTTTCCTTGATGTCTACTTTGAATCCCTGTATTCTATTTTGAGCCCTTTCCCTCCTGATCCACCTTTAGTGAATTTGATAAACAGTAGTAATGGAGTTATTTTTTAAAAAATGTACTCAAGGGACCTCCCTGGTGGCGCAGTGGTTAAGAACCCGCCTGCCGATGCAGGGGACACGGGTTCGAGCCCTGGTCTGGGAAGATCCCACATGCCACGGAGCAACTAAGCCCGTGCACCACAACTACTGAGCCTGCACTCTAGAGCCCGCGAGCCACAACTACTGAGCCCACCTGCCACAACTCCTGAAGCCCATGTGCCTAGAGCCTGTGCTTCTCAACAAGAGAAGCCACTGCAATGAGAAGCCCGTGCGTGGCGACAAAGAGTAACCCCCTCTTGCCACAACTAGAGAAAAGCCCATGTGTAGCAACGAAGACCGAACGCAGCCAAAAATAAATAAATAAATGAGATATACTCAAAGAGTTGCTCTTAGGGAAAATGTGATGCTTTCTAATTGGAAGAATGACTGACTCAGCTTCTATGGTTTTTAAAATTTAATAATTAATTCATATAGTTTCTCATTTGTGAACAAAATTAACATTTATTTGTCCCAAACATTTCATATTCTTTCAAATTAACAAACTTAATGCTAACTAATTATTCTTAAGATCATAGTGAATCAACATATTTATGGCAGAACCAGAATAAAGAATATACAACTTTCATGTTCCAGTGAAAAACTTGTTTACTGCATCATTATACTGCATACTATTTCTAAATATGTAGGAAAATTTCACAATGAATAGGAAAATATCACAAATAGATAGGGAAAGATGATTTTGGAATATTCTAAAGTCCAATTTTGTTACTTTTTTTTTTTTTTTGCGGTACGCGGGTCTCTCACTGTTGTGGCCTCTCCCGTTGCGTAGCACAGGCTCCGGACGCGCAGGCTCAGCAGCCATGGCTCATGAGCCCAGCCACTCCGCGGCATGTGGGCTCTTCCCGGACCGGGGCACGAACCCGTGTCCCCTGCATCGGCAGGCGGACTCTCAACCACTGTGCCACCAGGGAAGCCCCTCAATTTTGTTGCTTTATACAAAGTACGTATTAACAGAATATTGATGATTGGCGTGTTTTTACTTTAAGAAGGAGATATGATGAATTTGTCATTAACATACCATATGTTGAAAGAGGCTGCCCAACAGGAATAGTTTTTCTTAAGTAGGTTAAATAATTCTTATTTACAGCCTACATTTAACTTTCTTATCTTGCCCTTCGTTCATAATACAAAAATAAATCTCAAATTTGTGGTCAGATTGGTACTAATTTCAAGTTATTAATGACTTAATGAGGTATTATTGAACTGTCAATAATGCTTTTGTTCATTTTGTTTCTCTTTTAGAGAAGAAAACTGCGTCTCAGCCCTGAGCACTGTAGTAACTTTTATGTGGAACAGTATGGGAAAATGTTTTTCCCCAATTTAACAGCTTACATGAGTTCTGGACCACTTGTTGCCATGATATTAGCTAGATTTAAAGCCATCTCTTACTGGAAAGAACTCTTGGGACCAAGTAATAGCTTAGTAGCTAAGGAGACACACCCAGACAGGTAACTTTCCTGGGGGAGAAATGGAATCCAGCTATGAAAATGAAAAAAAAGATCTGATTTCATTGTAATAGGAATTTCCTTTAATTTGAAAGTTTTCCTAAATAACCTGATTTTTTTTGGTGGTGGTGGAGGGCTGGGTGGGGGAGGTCCATTTTGTGTTTTAACTGCTTAAATGTGTATTTTAATATCAAATACCACAAAAGGTCTCAGAGAATTTTGATTTATGGTTGACTAGCCTTATTTTTCTCTCATCCTTGAATTAAACTGCCACTGGTGTAGGATTTTTCATGGGAAAATTGGTATGGTATTTTATAGAATATTGGTAACGCAGGACCAGAAACTCAGATTTTCAGCATTATCATTAATGTCTGGAAACCAGAGGGCATTGAGTTCTTGCACTTTGAAAATGCATTGCTTTTTCAGTTGTCACAAAACAACACCTCTTTTTCACCCAGGTAACTCTTATTTTTCCAGTGTATCCCTCCCACAGATTTAAATATACTTGACCCTCATGTAGATAGATTTATGCTTAAATTCAAAATAGATTAAGACCTCCATATGTGAGAAGTGGCGATGCTTCTGTAAAATTCCTAAATAGAATGCATATGTAAAAAGTAAAGAAAGTATGTCAGATTGGATGGTCATCATCTCTAACTTGCTTTTAGTCTAAGGGCAATTTATGGCACAGATGAGCTAAGGAATGCACTTCATGGAAGTAATGATTTTGCTGCAGCAGAAAGAGAAATGCGATTCATGTTTCCTGCAGGTGAGTTACAGATGAGTAATTAGTTGCATCTACTTGTTTGCTTTCTCTTTTATTTTGGAGATGAAGCTGGGAAGGAAGATAACAGGGTTTTTCTCCAGTATATTCTGTCATATTGTCATATTGTCAAATTGTAGTTACTTAACTTGAAGCCAAGAGTAGAAAACATTTTTCTCAGAACTAAATTGTGACCTCTAGGGAATATTTTGAGAAGAGTTTACTTTTTTTTCTTTCTTTTCTCTTGGGTTTTTCTTCTTCTGTGTTGTAATTCCTTTTAGTTATCCCTAAATGCATCAGTCAAATTTGTTACAGTTGAAAAAGAATCTTCTTTGGAAATTATGACTGATTTGCCATTTTCTCTAACAGTTTCCTGTTTGTCTAACAAACAGTAAATTTATGAAATTAATAGTTCTCAGGCCCTCTTTTTGTTTCCAACCTGTTATGAAAGTTATAAACCTTTTATAAGTGGGTATAATAAGGAGCAGCACTGAGGTTTTTAGTTTATTTTCAGTAATATTTTTAGAGCAGAAAGGAGTTTTGGTGATTTTCATTATAAAGAAAAGTCTAAGCATTGGGCAATTTTGAATTTTTTTTGGCTTTTTTTTTTTTTTCTCTAAGTAATTTAGACCTGTTCCTCAGTATTTTCTGCTGAAGATTTATTCAAAGAAAATTGAAAATTGTCTTGGAGATTTAAAAGTTCAGATTTTTGAACAAAAACTGTTTTAAAGATATCTGTACACAAAAAGGATTTGCCTACTACATACTTTATTTCTGTGACAGAAGTTTCTGTCGTATCCATCCCATTAAGATATTTTTTTCGTTGGAACTGTTTATTGTGGAATATTTACACAAAAGTAGATAGCATGGTATAATAAACTCCTAATGAACCCATCACCCAGCTTCAACAATTTTGGTCAGTCTTTTTTTTCTCTAATTGAAGTATAGTTGGTTTAGTTCAGTATTATTTCATCTATAACCCCTGCTCCTACTTTTCCTGCTTCCATATTATTTTGGAGCACATCTTAAACATGAGATGTCTTTTTAATGTGATAGATCTTTAGATTTAGTCCTACTAGTGAATTAGACTTTTCCTCCTTAGCTTTTAACTAAAATAGAGTTAAAAGCTCATTTATCTTAAGTAGAAGATATTTTTGGAAGCACTTCTTACTCATAGGGTTATATCCCTAAACTGTTATTTTAGATTGATTTTACCCATTAATTAATCCTCTAGATACAGTTAGACATTTGAGAAGCAGCAGTTGTAGGATAAAGATAAATGATTTATTACCTACTACCTTGCAGATCTCTTGCTATGAGAATGTGAAGTTCTTGAGAGAAAGTTCTCAGAGTTGATGATATGAGCTCCCTCTTGCTTAGCAGTCAGTCAGGAACTATATGCAAAACCCTATATGATGAGGAGTCACTAAAGCAAGTTGCAAAGATATTCTAAAACATATTCCTAATCCTTGAAAAAGCTAGTGCTCTTCCCTTCCCTTTTAATAGGGATGGCTGATTCAAAGCTTTGCTATATTCCATTCATTCAACAAATTTATTGAGTTAACTACTGTGTGCCAGAAATACAAAGATGAATAAGATGTCTCTGCTCTTTTCAAGAAGACTGTATTTTAAAAGTCTATAAAAATAAATATACAATGCAGTATATAAATTATGCCATGAAAAAGCTTTTAAAAGTACATTGAAAGTTTATCTATGTAAGAAACATGAAAACCCATTTTAGTTTCTCATTAATTCATCCAGCCCTATTGTCGAAAATCAGTTGGCCATAAATGTAAGAATCTAATTCTAGATTCTCAGTTCTGCTTCGTTGATCTTTATTGTCTATCCTTATGTCAGTACCATACAGTCTTGATTATTGTGGTTTCATAATAGGTTTTGAAATCAGGTTAGTGGAAGTCCTCCAACTTCCAAATAATAAGTGGTCAGAGACAAATAATAAATGGTCAGCAAAAACAGAAACAAACAATCCAAAAATGAAGTTAAGGAAACAGTTTTATTCACAGTAGCATCAAAAATAAGATATTTAATAATAAATTTAACAAAAGAAGTGAAATTCTTGTGCACTGAAAAGCACAAAATGTTGCTGAGAGAAATTCAAGAATATCTAAATAAATAGACATCACTTGTTCCTGGAAGAGTCAATATTGTCAAGACGGCAGTTCTCTCCAAATTGATTGATAAATTTAATACAATCCCTATAAAAGTCTATGAATGCTTTTATGTAGAAATTGACAAGCTGATTCTAAAATTTATATGGAACTGCAAAGGATCTAGAAGAGCTAAAACAATTCTGAAAACAACAAAGTTGGAGGACCTCCACTAACCTCATTTCAAAACCTATTATGAAACCACAATAATTAAGGCAGTATGGTCCTGACATAAGGGTAGACATAAAGATCAATGAAGCAGAAATGAGAATCTAGAATTAGATTCTTACATTTATGTACAATTGATGTTCGACAAAAGTATGTAGAAAATTTGATGGAAAGAGGGTGGGCTCTTCAACGAATGGTGCAGAGACAACTGGATATCCGCATGCAAAAACAAACAAAACAACTTAGACCCTTGGTTCACACCACACACAAAATTTAACTCAAAATGGATCATCAACCTAAACATGAGAGCTAAAAACATCTAGAAGAAAATGTAAAAAATCTTCATTACCTTGAGTTGGACAAAGCTCTTAAATATGACATCAAAAGTATGATCTATAAAGGAAGATATTGATAAATTGGACTACATCAAAATTCAAAGCTTTTCTTCTTTAAAAGCCATCATTAAGAGTATGAAAAGGGGACTTCCCTAGTGGCACAGTGGTTAAGAATCCACCTGACAATGCAGGGGACACGGGTTCTATCCCTGGTCCAGGAAGATCCCACATGCCATGGAGCAGCTAACCCCATGCACCACAACTACTGAACCTGCACGCTATAGCCCATGAGCCACAAATACTGAGCCCATGTGAAGCCCACATGCCTAGAGCCCGTGCTCTGCAACAACAGAAGCCACTGCAATGAGAAGCATGTGCACCGCAGTGAAGAGTAGCACCCCGCTCGCCACAACTAAAGAAAACCCACACGCGGCAACGAAGACCCAATGCAGCCAAAAATAAATAAATATATATATATTTTTAAAAAGTATGAAAAGATAACGACAAACTGGGAGAAAATATTTGCAAATGATTTATCAGGTAAAGCACTTGTATCCAGAATATATAAAGAACATTTACAATTCAATACTAAGAAAAACAACTGAATTAAAAACTGGGCAAAAGAATTGAATAGGCATTTCACAAAAGAAGATGAATGGCTAATAAGCACATGAAAAAGTGCTCAACATAATCATCGGGGAAATGCAAATGAAACAATGAGATACCACCTGCATACCCACTAGAATGCTATAATCAATGGCAAGGGTATAGAGATACTGGCATTCTCCATACATTATTGTAAAATGTTACAGCCACTTTGGGAAACAGTTTGGTGATTTCTTAAAATGTTAACACATCCACGTGACATGTAACTCCACTACCAGTTCTACTCCTGGCAGCATGTACCCACACAAGAAAAATGAAAACATAACTCTACTTAAACACATGTGAATATTCATGGTGGCATTATTTAATACAGCACCAAACTGGAAACAGTCCAACTGTTCACCAATGGATAAACAGCATTTAGTATAGCCATACAGCCATACAATGGAATACTACTCAACAATTAAAAGGAACAGACTCCTGATACATGCTACAACATGGGTGAACCTCAAAACATTATGCAAAGTAGAAGAATCCAGGCACAAAAGACCATATATTTTATGATCCATTTATCGGAAATGTCCAGAAAAGATGTTTTTAGAAAGAGAAAGAAGCTTCATGGTTGCCAAGGGCTGGGGGTGGGAGTGGTAGTGGTGAATTGCAAATGAATACAAGGAAACATTTTTGCGATGATGGAAGTTTTCTAAAACTGGACTGCGGTGAGGATCACACAATTATAAGTTTATTAAATAAGTTGTATAGGGGCTTCCCCGGTGGTGTAGTGGTTGGGAGTCCGCCTGCCAATGCAGGGGACATGGGTTCGTGCCCCGGTCCGGGAGGATCCCACATGCCGCGGAGCAGCTGGGCCCGTGAGCCGTGGTCGCTGGGCATGCGCGTCCGGAGCCTGTGCTCCGCGACGGGAGAGGCCACAGCAGTGAGAGGCTCGCGTACCGCAAAAAAAATAAATAAAATAAGTTGTATAGTTCAGTGGAAGAATTTCATGATAAGGGAATTATACCTCAATAAAACTTTAAAAAATAAAATTATAAAAAATAGATGAGGTTTCTGCTCCCATGGAGTTTATAGTTTAGTGTTCAAAAGATAGCCACTAAACAATAATTACCTATATAATTGCATAGTTATTATCTAAGAGTTGCATAGTTATTGTGTGGTAAGTACTATACGGCAATTAGAGGGTATCATGAGAGACTGGTAACAAGACAGGCCCGACTGAGGAGTGACATTTTAGTTGAGATCCAAAGGATAAATAGTGGTTAACCAGAGAAAGGGAAGAACATTCTAGGAGAAGAACAGCAAGTGCTCAAGTGATGAGCAGGAAAGAATATGGTACATGGCACATATATAAACTGAAAGATTTGGAGGAAGAGACACTAAGATGAGGTTGAAGAGGTAAATAGAGGACACATAGTGTAGTCAGTGGGCCAACGTATGGAATTCTGTCTTGAATATAAGTGCAGTAAGGAATCAATGAAGCGAGAAGCAAGAACTACAGTCCTGCAGCCTGTGGAACAAAAACCACATTCACAGAAAGAAAAGATGAAAAGGCAGAGGGCTATGTACCAGATAAAGAAACAAGATAACACCCCAGAAAAGCAACTAAATGAAGTGGAGTTAGGCAACCTTCCAGAAAAAGAATTCAGAATAATAATAGTGAAGATGATCCAGGACCTCGGAAAAAGAATGGAGGCAAAGATCAAGAAGACACAAGAAATGTTTAACAAAGACCTCGAAGAATTAAAGTACAAACAAACACAGGTAAACAATACAATAACTGAAATGAAAACTACACTACAAGGAATCAATAGCAGAATAACTGAGGCAGAAGAACGGATAAGTGACCTGGAAGAATGGTGGAATTCACTGCTGCGCAACAGAAGAAAGAAGAAAGAATGAAAAGAAATGAAGACAGCCTAAGAGACTTCTGGGACAACATTAAACACAGTAACATTTGCATTATAGGGGTCCCAGAAGGGGAAGAGAGAGAGAAGGGACCTGAGAAAATATTTGAAGGGATTATAGTCAAAAACTTCCCTAACACGGGAAAGGAAATAGCCACCCAAGTCCAGGAACCGCAGAGAGTCCCATACAGGATAAACACAAGGAGAAACACGCAGAGACGTAGTAATCAAATTGGCAAAAATTAAAGACAATGAAAAATTATTGAAAGCAGCAAGGGAAAAACGACAAATAACATACAAGGGAACTCCCATAAGGTTAAGGTGATTTCTCAGCAGAAACCCTACAAGCCAGAATGGAGTGGCATGATATACTTAAAGTGATGAAAGGGAAGAACCTACAACCAAGATTACTCTACCTGGCAAGGATCTCATTCATATTCTATGGAGAAATCAAAAGCTTTACAGACAAGCAAAAGCTAAGAGGATTCAGCATCACCAAACCAGCTCTACAACAAATGCTAAAGGAACTTCTCTAAGTGGGAAACCCAAGAGAAGAAAAGGACCTACAAAAACAAACCCAAAACAATTAAGAAAACGGTAATAGGAACATACATATCGATAATTACCTTAAACGTGAATGGATTAAATGCTCCGACCAAAAGATACAGGCTTGCTGAATGGATACAAAAACAAGACCCATATATATGCTGTCTACAAGATACCCACTTCAGACCTAGGGAC